AAAATCATGAGATTTGGACAACTCACTTCAGGAGCTAAAACAAAAATGAAGGTGGACAAAGAGGACCCTGACTATGATTTTCTTCATGTTTTGGAATATTTGGGATGCTCCAGAAGACTGAAAGATGCAAATTCTGCATGATTTTTTTTTTTTTTAAAGGATACATGAGATGTCCCAGATGATTGTAGGCTCGTTGGCCTGATACTGAGCCCAGACAAACAAATTGCACAGCTGATGCTGGCTTCAATTAATAGAGTACTAAAAGAGAATAATGGAGTTAGTACCAGGCAACGTCTTGCCAAATTATGGTTTTGATGAGATGAAAAGTATGGGTGATGGGGGTATTGCAGATATTCAGGGTGTTACATAACACTATATTACAAAGAGTGATTTAAAAAACGCAAATATATTTGTATTCAGGAAATTGCCGTGATGCAGATGAATTTCTGGAGGGATTCTTTGTGAAACTGTTCACAGCCCATGTTTTTAATACTTTCATCAGTGGAAGACAGCATACGGTCCTTGCTCACAGCTTGCAAGCGGTGCAGAGGTAGCAGGGAGTGAGGAGGATGAGAGGTGACAGACTTGGCCGAACACAGTGCAGCGTTACCATGTGTTGAGGCACGGAGAACATCGCTCTACTTGGTTTCAGCCCCTGGGAAATGGACACTGAGAAAAGCTTTCGGAGGACATGGTGGCTTTCTGGCCGAGTATTGATGCACAGTGTGGCCAAAAGGGCTGGTGTGGTCTTTGGCTGTATAGACACGTAGGTAGGTGTAGGGACTCTGCTTTTGGCGCGAGCCTGGCATCTCAGGAAGGTCAGTGTTGAGCTTAGCAAAGAGAGGACTGAGAAATTACTTCACCGCTAACTACAAGTACATAACAGGTGACAGGCATTCTCCGTTTTTTTTCCGAAGATTTTATAGAACCCAATCGAAGGAAAACAAAATGCAGACTTGAAATGAGGTGTATGTTTCTGAGGGTGAAATAGCACATGCTGTAACAACGAGCCAAGGGTAGAAACTGCATCGCTGGGAGGTGACGACTTGAGTTGTACTGTGTTTTACCCGCTGATGCTGCTGGTGCAAAGAGGATTTAGTCTGGGTTGTTGCTGCGCTGTGTGGCAGGTCAGACTGAGAGATCACACCCCGGCTCTTGTCATCGGCACAGTCGGTGGCCACCACACCGTTCAACAGTTTATTAGAAATTAGGATACTCCGCAGAGAAAGCTGTGACAAGCTATGCCAAAGCAGCACTTGTTACAAAGCGTACAGATGCCTGGAATAACAACGAAGTCTTAAAACTTGGATCGATAAACAACAAAGACCTGCCACCTCCCACGCGCGTCCTGCTTAGTCACTGCTCAGCATCTTAGCAAGACCAGCCTTCCCCAGCATGCCACGTCCCCTGGAGCACCTCCTCCTCGCCCTTTAGCTCCCGCAAAGGTCTCGCTCTTCTTTTCACTCGCTGCAGGCCAGGTTACTTTGCCACTTCCAGTGTCTTTTCTGAGTCACTGGCACTTTCAGAAAGTAAAGGCTGTGGAAACTCCTTCCTAATGGGCAGGAAAATTACTGCCTCCCCACAGGCTTTCTACCAAATCATAACAAGCAAGTGTTATTTCAACATTAGTGTCTTTCCCGTTGGTTAGAGTAGGCACAGATCCCTGTTGGTGGTGTCGGTGATAGTGGATACGTGCATAAGCGTGCAGAGAATCAGCTCTTGGGGTTATGATCTTGTTAACTCTCTAGAGTCCACATCAAAGTCAAAGAAATACAAAATAAATAAGCTAGTAGGTTTAAATGATTTTTCGTACTCACAATTGGAAGCCACAGGCTCTTACACAGTTACGTTTGCCGCAGGGTTTGGAGGAAACAGTTCCTCTTACCTCTTGGCAAAGAGAACATTTGCAGAGCCGTAAGAGGCACACAGGAGCAAAACCGAAGCTTTGACTCTCAGCCTCGTGCTGCCCTCTTTGTGGCTTCCTTTAGGCTTCGGTTAATACAGCAGCCCAAGAAGCCTGGCTTTGCAAGTTGCATCTGGTGTTTGAAAGGCTGAGGTTGTCGGTACCAACAGCAAACAGTGTGATGTACGATGGCTTTACAAGTCAAAAGCGCTCAGAGTCCTCCAGTCTCTAAAGTGATAACAAAAATCATACAGTTTTGTGCTTGAAACATTACTGCTTCTATGAAATTAGAAGTATTTATAAGCTTCAGCCAGCTTTTAGTACCTTCATATTTCTCACTGGTAATGAGAAAGCATTTTATCAGCACAATACAGTTGAAGTAGAGCTACACAACAGGTTAAATAGTTTCCTGTTGTCTTCTCGCTTGTGCCCCATCCCTTTGGAAGAACATAGGTAAGTATATCTTTGAATAGTCTGCAGTCAAATTACTTACTGTGGGTAAAATACCATCCTGCTGTGAGATCAGCGCCTAAAAATTAGAGGGTTTTTTGACACATTATATTCTGTTCCCTTTAGGGCCCCATGTAGTTTCACATAATTACAGGTAATAGTACCAAGTATGGCTGAGAGCCATTAGGTCACCAACAGGGACTTTTGCTGATAGAGATAACCAGAAAAGCAAGTGCAAACTTCACAGACTGTTTTGAGCCCAGCTTCATGGGGACCGGAGAAGTCGAAAGCTCCCAGGTACCACTGATGCTTCGGCAACTGTGTCCTCAGTGAGTTTGCTAAACAAAAAGTTTCACATTTAGACAGGGCAGGAAAGGGATACTTTGCAGGTAGCTCTGATTTCCCAAATACCACTCAACTCTCCTCCAAGTCCAAGTATCGGGCATATTTTCTTTCAGGCAGTAGTACAATCACCCATCATAGCACAATTGCCCATCATAGCCCCTTCCATTCTTGCTGTCACCTCGCAGGAGATCCAGGATCTCACGGGAGATGCTGGTTACCTGTGGTAACTTCCACCTGAGTGAAGGTTTTTGATGACCTTGTCCCGGGGTTTCTGATGCTTCCCTGGGGCAGCGAGCCTTCGTGATCCTTGTGCCTCTTTCTTGGACACCTAATTAATCAGAGAGTAACCTGTGCATGGGTGTTCCTACTTTAATCTTCGTTTTGCCAGACAGCAAACACAGATGGAGTGTAAGAAAAGGGTCTCCAAATAAATCTCATCCTTCAGCCCATCCACGTGGAAAAAGAAGAAAATCTTTTCTTTTTCCCACATACTCTTTCCTGTATATAAAAATGGGGAGGGAAAGCCAAATCCTTTTTTTGCCACACCTTCTTACTAGCGTACTAAAACATTACCTGTGGTTAGTGCATTTTTCTCCTTTATTCCACGTAAGAACTTGTATTGAATTTTTTGATTGCTGCTCTATGCTAAATACACAGCTCTCATTACAGGAAGGCCACAAAGCATGTTGGTGGGACTAGTAAGCTTGACTGCCTTTCCTGACTTTTTAAGAATTGAAACATTTTCTAAAACCATCTGGTGACACCTAAAAGTGGGGTTTTTTTCCTACAAAGAAAAAGCATCCAGGCTCTCCTGCTCACATACTTCAGCAATGTCACTGTGTAGCAGCTACACTCCCGAGGCACTGCCCTGGTCTAGCAATGAGCAGTGAAGTCACTGCAGAAATTAAACAGGTACAAGTCGCTCGAAATGCTAACTCTTGCCTAACGCGTAACCTCCTAACCTCCTGTGGCAAAATGTGATGTATCAAATGAAACAGGAGTAAATACACGGATGGCTCGTCTTTACGGAGAAGTCGGCATGTGGTGAAACGACATAGGAATTTATTATCCATGCCAGGCACTTTGCATGACTTCTGTATGCGGTCTACTGGATGTAACACTGCTTAGCCCTTGGTAAAGGGTCTGTTTTGGACAGAGTGAAGGTGGTTTGCACCGTCTGCCTAGACGGGGGCGTAGCTACTGCACAGCGTGAATGCCCAGGAAAGGATGCAAAATACCTTTAAATCCTACCTTGAGACATTCTCCGTGATTTCAGTGCTTGCTTTCAGGTTGCCAGCTTAAGACAAAGCCCAAAACACTGCATTTTTCCAGGTGTAAAGGCTGAATGCCAAGAAATAATCAAAAAAAAAAAAAGAAGGAACACTGAAATATTTTTTCTGGATTTTTAGCTAAAGCTAAGATTATATCTAAATATTTTACAAAAACAACCCATACGAAATGTGAGAGTGATAAGGTACCTTAAAAATGATGCTTATTTAGTCTTGCACAAGTCAGTCATAATGTTGGGTTAATATCTGTTTAATTCTCCTATGGTGTTTCAGGCTCGGGAGAAAAGCACTGTATCTCAAAAATACTCCAGAATTAATCAGGGATGTGGCAGCATCTGCTTAAGAGAGACCCGTAATTGAATCATCCCTAATTAACCTATCACCTCAGCAGAAGGGAATCGGATGTTGGTACCACTACTGAAATGGATGAGAGGGATGGGAATGGAAAGGGGGGGAGGATGAGGGAAAATAAAGCAATTTGCCTAACACCTAGTTTTATAACAAATTTGGGGGGAGGGAGGGAAAAGAAATTAAAGTATATGAATCATTAAATCTGTTCAGTATAGTTAATCAGACTGTCGTTTCAGAAACATTTGAGCATATTTACATGTTAATCAGTGCATGATTTAGGTCCAAGAAATGTTCTATCCTTTGTATGGTTTGGGCTTTTTACAGTATTCACAGATTTTTTTTTTTATTAGTAGTATTATTATTACTGCTGACCTAATTAGTATTTGTAATAATTATAATTTCAAACTAGAAAAAAAAGCCTTTGAAAACTAGTGGGCAGAAAATAAAAGCAATGTCAGAGATCTCAACATAGGAAATACAACATTCATCGTGTATTTATTGAATGAAATGACAGCACAAATCAAAATGAGAAGTATTTCCTATTTGAAATAAATCTCACAGACGTACAAAACAGATCCTGAAGAACACTGCTTGATTTAATATTGTTGTTCTATTTTGTGCTAGATAGCTAATATACAGTAATTGCAATTTGTTTCATGCAGTGCCCTGCCAGACTGTTTTAGATTATTTGAAGACTGTACTTCAGCATCACAACCAGCTTATGGTACCACAGCCAACAGACCATCCGACTGAGGTAGTATACAGTGAAGACAAGCTGCATCTCTTTATGTTTGACAATTCATTGAAAACGTGTAGGCAAATAAATCAGTACGCACTGGAAGAATATATTTAGTAGTAAAAATATGTAAAATCTATTATTAAACTGTCATTCTTAGGTACAGTAATCCCCTAAATGGAGGAGCCTCATCACTAGTATAATCTAGGATGACTTTACTGAGCAGCGCGTAACTCCCTCCATCGGCACCAGCTGCACTTGCCTTGCTTTGGGTAATTTTTCTCTCACCTTTCCTCAGAAACATCACTTTTGTGGGTAGAATTTAGGCTAGAGCTAGCCTGGTGAAAGCTGCAGCGGGGTGACTGGCAGCGGCTGCACATGGCGGCTGCCGGCGCACAGAGGCTGCAGCCCGTGCATGGGGGGTACCGACATGTTGTCTGTATGGACACGGGCACGTGTGTGTGTACGGTTAGTATAGCTCTAATACAGCCCTGAGATGGTTAACACTAAAATACACGTTTCCTTCATTTTGCAGACAGACCCAAATATAGACTTCTGCAAGTCTTTGGAGTGCTCTTGCTTTCCAGAAAGCATCCCAAACAAAATGTTGAGTGTTGACAATTTTATACTTGATACGGAGTTTGGGGATTTTTGTAATTATGATCTGTTTAAAAGGGCTGCAGTGAAAAAGCAGGAAATTTAAGTCCTCCCCTTCTCTAGAAGGTAGATGTATAGATTATCAGCTCTAGTGTAACTCACATTAATTTTGCTCCAGTGTGTTTCTATCCAGGCTTGTAAAAAAAAAATGAATGAAGTGGGTCTGTTGAGACTTTTCTAATTTAGACTGTCTGTATTTGAGGCTCTTGCTATGCATGTTTTTGTATATGTAGTGTACATGTGTCACTACCCATTATTCACGCAAACAAAATCAGAAGAGGGAAGACTTAGGTCTAGTCTGACCTCCCTTTGCACATAAATTATATGTAGTGCAAGCCTCACGTAGTCCAACTTACCATAGTTTCACTGAAGATGCTTT